CTCACGCGACGTGACACACATACGCCTGGATGGCATTTATCAACATCAAGTCCTCCATCGATGTCTCCACAACAACCGTAATCACGGTGCCAACATCGAACTACTCCAGCATGCGCATTGGGAAGCTCACGACGACTCGGCTATGCAGGCCATTGCAAGCCATAGACATGCAGTTCTTGACGTTAGCGCTAGGGAAGATTTCACCCGCGGAGCGAGGTGTAACACGTAGTCTGGTACGAGGTAGGGGCTGTTTTCGCGCAAAAAGGCATCTACGTCGTATCCATCACATGGACAGCACAGGTGCCAAGCTAAGAACACCCCGAAACCGCACAATGGTCAGCGTCCAGCCAAAAGTAGGCGTGCGCTTGTCTGGGCTTGCTGTGAGGCCACGCGGAAAATTACCATGAAAACATGCAACACCAGAAAAATGAACCACGGAAACTGACCTTGGGGTCGAGTCCGTAGCCCATAGCCGAACACTTGAACCCGTCCAAGTGCTGCGAGTGAAGCACAGAACCGCCCTCGGCTTCGCACATGAGGTGCAACAACTTGAAGTTTACCTGCACCAAGCAAAAGAATCGCGCAGCCAGCCGGCCGTGGTTGCGGTCAAGATTCGCGACCGAAATAAACGTACCGACAATTATGCCTCCCGAGGAACTCGAGGAAGCAGAGACCGGTGCCTCAGGGTGTGTGGCCAGAATGAGGGGGGTAGCAGAGATGTATGCATCTGCATGCAACCGAAATTGGGGTGTTTTAGTGATGCATTGTGGAGAAAGATCTGTTTTTCTTTTTTGTTTGTTTTCACTTCAAATCAGCGCTCACAGCATTTGTGCCGTGTACTCCAACCCGTGGTCACACAGAAGAGCCCCTCTCTACCGTCCCCTCCTGGGGTGCTTTGCCTTCGATTTTTTATGCGAGAAGAGTGCAGCACTCTCTTCCCTCTGTGTACACACGAAATAGCGCTTTCCACCCACGCCAGGAACGCAAGCGAGAGAAAAACTCACTCTGCAAGAAAAGCTCGTTTGACACCGGGATTCGAACCCCTGACCCTGGCCACCAGAAGGTTTTCGAGGATACCAACTAGACTACCGGGGCGACCGGAAAGATCCATACAAACAAAAAAAAACACGAAAGTGGTTTCGTTCGTCATGCGAAAGATCACAAATATGCAGTAATCCGAAAAGAAAAAAACTTGCCATGCAAGAGAAGGACCCGTGAACGGCCAGGTGTGGATCCCTTGTCCCCTCGAGCTCGCTGTCGTGGACGTACCTGTTTTCCGTGGAATGCCGGGGAAGGTCGCACGCCGTGCAGCAGCACCGAAAGAGGTTTTATGACAGGTTGATACAGCCCCGGGCAAAGCTACAGAGTATCAGCATGACGGCAGGGAAATGCCAGGGTGAACCACAAGAGAAACCTTGATACATGTAGTCGTATAACAGACTGGCGCCATTAAGTTGACGGTAAAGATCTAGGTTCACACGGCCGGAGAAAACAGCGCCAAATCAACACTTTTCGACGGGCTGGGATAACTTAGTCCTGAGGAACACCAGCACACGCAAAAAAAAAAGTGCAGAAATACTCAAAGGAAGGATAGTGGCACTGACCCCTTATCCCCGGCGATGACCAACGCCTTTCCACCCTTCGACAGGGCTCTCAGGCAGTCCACCGCCCTGACAGCTCCGACCGGGACGAGAAAGGAAGCCTGGTGGTGTGAAGCCGCAAGGGCTTCCAAGGCCTTGGCTAGGCGTGCGTCGTCCGGGTAGCACTCGGCAGGACGTCGCCTTAGACATGACGCGCGAGGAAAACGGTGCGTGGAATGGTGTGACCCTAAATATCTTCGTTCTCGGATCTGATGCCTGTTCATGGGTGTGTTTCATTTTTTATGCAGTTGTGGTAATCTTTGGGGCTGCTTTGACTGAGACTCCCGCGTTGATAGTGTCGGGCGGGCTGGCATGCTAATACGCTGCGTCAAAAGCACAGGCAGCAATTCGGCAGACTCTTCTTTGTTATGCTGCGTGCAGGACAGAGTATAGACGATGTATTGGTGAGGCGGTGTTGGTATATGGTCATCGGGCACCGTTGTCATGGAGCGTTCCAGCTGTATCCAGAGAGCATGTCTTCAGCCCAGGTTATGAGATATCAGCCGTCATGTCATGAGATAGAGCTTTCATGAACCTGGACAGAAGATAAGTTGTCTGTATGCAGCTGGAACGCTGTACGACAACGGTGCCGGACGACGACATACCAACACCGCCTCAAAAAGAATCTACACGCTGTTTGCGATCACCCTTTGAAGCTGCTTTGACTGAGACACCCGCGCTGTTAGCCCGGCTGGCTGGCTGGCTGGCTGGCTGGCAGCTAATACGCTGCGTCACAATCACAGACAGTAGATTGTTCTTTGGTATGCTGCGTGCAGGACAGACAATAGACTATATTGGTGAGGCGGTGTTGGTACATGGTCTTCCGGCACCATTGTCGTACAGAGTTCCAGTTTTATGCAGACAACACATCGGAAGCCCAGGTCATGAAATAGAGCTTTCCTGACCCGTTGCTGAAGACAAGTCGTCGTATGCCGCTGGAACGGTGGGC